AAATACCTGCATATAAAAATGCTGGTAAATTTGGAGGATGATAAAAAAGTTCATGCAGCATCTTTTCAAACGTGTGGAGCAGTGCTCTGTGCTGGAAACAAGTTCAGAAGATTCACTTGCCTGTCTGCATTTTTGTTAACGGTACAGTGCAACTGCTCACTGCCAGGACAAACTCAATCTATTTTGGCACTAGAACTAAAAGTGGTAAAAACATAGAGATTTGATTGCAATTTATTTTAAAATTGTATTATTTTATTAACCCCAAAAGTAGTTAATATTGGAAATAATTACATTATGGTAATGAAATGGATATTTTTAATAACTTGTTTTAAGATAGTGCTAAAATAACATAAAATGTACTGGGGAAAAAGAAAGCATTAAATTATCATATTATGTTTAATGTAGATAGTAATAAAATCTTATTTATTATAAACAATGTTAAACAAGATTTTTTCTGAGAGGTTAAAATCACCAAGTTAAAAAAAAAAAGGTCCTTCTTTTTGTGAGTGTATTTTGTACTTATATTTTAGTATTAAGCTTACTCTATCCCCAGGTCAGAACTGATACAAAGTAATGCTATTCTGAATACTTTTTCATGTTTCATGTTTCTGAGTAAGGCTTACTCAGAGAATGAATATAAGTCATTAGTAATTTAGCCAATTTTTGGATGAAATTAAATTATAAAGGCAAACCTGTACACGGATAGAATTTATCAGAGTCAGGTGAAGATTCAGAGTACTAAAACTATAACTATTTTTGTCCAGTTGTACTTCATATTTGTTCATCCTTATATTTACAAATCAAAGACTAATTCACAGCAGTATTTTTTCCCCATTTGAGTATATTCATTGCGTAACTTGATTACACATTTGTCAACTTTGGACTAATTATTTTTCTACAGCTAGGGCAGGGCATTGCATCTTCTGATTGTCTTTCTTACTAATAGGATTCTGTCTGCTTCAGCAGGCAGTAATTGAAGGCTTCATGTGCAAGATTTAAAGAAAGGGTGGAGAAAAAAAAAGTTTTAGCCTCCATGGGCCATTGTCGCTGTTTCTGGCAAGCAGTAGAACAGAAAAAGAAGAAAATTTAGCTTGAATAGAAAAATCAAAGAGGAAGAAGAGAGCCCGACAGGAGAGAATGTAGGTTTTAGTGCTGTTGAATTATGTGTAACAAACCCTGCTCTGCTGTAAACAAATGTCCCGATAGTGAGTGTTCAGGTGCAAATTTACTTTCTCAAATGTTGAGCTTGAAAGAGCAGATTTTGAGTGGGTTACTCCGTTGCTGTCTATTCACTGACGTGGAATTTTCCTAACCTTTCCCTATAAAAATGCTTTTCCAGTATACTGTAGCTAGCTTCTGTCTACAAATAAAGGGAAAATAACTGCTAGTTAGGCTACTCATCTTTACAAAGGCAGTGTTTGGCAATGCTGTTACACTGTAGTATCTGATAGTTTCCCTTTATATTGACTATAAATTAAATATTTTTGTGTGATAATCATTAACAAATCTTATTTTCATGGAAAGTGACCAAGAATATGTATTTGATGTTTAACTCTTGAAAGACTGAATGACTTTTTAAAAATATACAGTACTTTATTGATGTTGATTTAGAATTTGATTCTTAATGTGCATTTCCTTACCTGCTGACAGGTACCATATTTATGTACAAATAATTTATGAATTCCCTCTTTTTTTTTCTATGTCACATAGCCTCAGAATATTTTAACATTCTTTAAAAACACACACACACACAAAACCTGAAACTCATAATATGCAAATATATCACACATTGTTATTTTTCTAATATGTCTTTATTTTTTTAAATGTGAAAAATATTGAGATGCAAATCTCCCTGAATACTTTTAATAATGTGAAATAACTTTTAGAATTACTATCACAGGAAGAAATCTAGAAAATAACTGCTGTATAGCAGAAACAGCTATCTTGAAACTAGTAGTAAATATTTATTTCTGTTTTCTGAATGATAGTTACTTTCTATTTTTTTCATATTCACTGATGCATCCTTTATTGCAACAGAATCATGCTAATAATACAATGTCTTATATTAAGAGCTGTCCAAAGGACAAGTTCTTTCTTTTGGACCTACAAACCACCAATTTACAAGCTAGATTTTCAGGTACAATAGTGCAGTTTCCAAGGCTTATTTCAGTCTATGAATTCTGATTTTTTTAGTATCTTTTTTTTCCTTCTACTCAAATTCCAACCTTCAAGGCAGTATCAGCTTTCAGAAAGAGTGAAAAATAATTACTGACCTTTTGGGGAAAATAGAAGTTCCTCCCTGAGAACAAATACCTACAATAGAGAGTAATTAACTTCTGGTGTTGGAAGATTTTTTTTAATGGCTTTCTGATCTAAGCATTTGGTTGAGTATAACACGTGTTTTTGAAAATCCATGTGTGCTTATCATGAGTAAGCATATAAATACAGTAACATGTACTTAGTTGAAAAAAACAGCTATTACCCAAATCCTTCGATGACATTATATTTAAAACATCTAAATCATTAGCAAATCAGTTTTACTGGTAGTGTCTTCTAACCCGAAGTCAGCTGCTTAATCCTTTCATGACTGTATTAGTTTCAAGGATCATGTAAGTATATTCATTTTATAAATCTCTCTAGAAACTTTTTTCTTTAAAAAAAAAAATTATTTTCCCTACTTTAAGGAGAAGATTTCGATTTCCAAAGTTCAAAAGCAGTGGTAAACCCATTGTGTGGTTGTTCTTCTATACATCCTTTTTAAAGGGTAAAATAAGTCATCCCGTTCTGTTCCAATTCTTTTTTTCACTAAGTGATTCCAGATCGGTGACCATTGATACAAACTGATTAGCTACTGCTAGTTATGCATACTAACACTTTGTGTAGAATTATCCGAGTATCAGACCCTTTGCGTCTTGCAAACTACATACAAACTCACATTTTATTGATTTTTACGTGTTTTGTTCAGAGGTATGGAAAAGTACTATTGATCCCCCATGTGATTTTGCAAATCCACATGTAAAAATACCAGCGCAATGCGCATCACTGATGCTTTGGGCCGACTTGGCTTTCGCAGAACTGACTTTGTATCACTTTCATGTTTTAGTAAAAGAGGGTAAAATCAAGCCTCGGGGCTATGAAGCACAGCGGGAGTGCCAACTACCAACCTATTTATGTGCACACTCAGACATAATCTGCTTCTGTGTTGTCTCAAGACACAACTGTTAAGTAAATAAAGTGACTAATAAGACTATTGTTTACATAATTATCCCCCTGTCAAAATCAACAAGAGAAATAGTGATCTTCCACATCGCAGTGAGAATAGATGAAATCATTGATATAACTAGCTAAGTAGCTAATTTTTATAGTAGTAACGTTGTTTTAGCACCTCCTATTAAAGGGAGGGGTCTTTGAATGTATCTATAATCCAGACAAAAGAAATAGATTGACCTGTGATGGGTGACATTAGAGAAGTGCCCCATGTTTCCTTAATTAGTATAATGTGTTATGAGATTTTGATATGCTTAGTTTAAAAAGAAAAAAGAGAGAAATTACTTCTCGTTTAAAGAGAACCTGCTTCCTGCTTAAGTGGCTAATATTTTAATTAAGTCTGGAGTGAAGTTTTTTGAGTATCTCCTGATAAACTCCCTCCTTTATGTTGATGGTAATTAAACAGATCCCCAAGGGCTTGGGTAGGCGCTTTGCGAGGCCCATGCTAATTGTCAGACATGAGACACTGACCAGTTGGTTTGCTCTTGAATAGCCGACACCGTGCTGTCAGCCCAGCAGTTTGATTTTTCTGTATTGTGAGCTGTTGTCAGGGCTAACTGGGTCCTTTTGTGGCTGAAGATGTTGTGCAAATTGAGGCAGATGGCTCTGATTCAGACACGTGTCATTCAGAAAGAAGAGAGGAGATTGGCCCTGAAAAGTGGGGTCAGACTGGGTCACAGACCTGCTCCACACTTGTTAGTGTTTTCAAAAGCCCATGTGCAGCAACTTTGTTGTTGTCAAGTAACCAAGGGGGGCAAAAAAAAAAAAAAGCATGGTGCGCTCCTTGTGGAAGATGGAAGACGAGGCTGTTGCCATCCTCTTCTGTTGCCATCCTCTTCCTTCATGTCTCTTGGGCCTGGCTGTGCGTGCAGAATGAATTAACAGGATTGACAGAAGTTCATTGTGCCTAAAATGGCTTTTCAGTCAATTGTCGTGCTTAAAAGGCTAGTTTTGCTTTTAATTCCATGTAATTAGTGGGTTCTTCATGTCTTGGAATTTAGTAATGGTGCATTAGTTCTAACTTTTGTTTATCTGGTTGGTTGGAGGTGGGGGTGTATTTGCTTTGTAGAGTTTTCAATAATTATAGAATATGTATAAATATTGGCCACATTTGTATGATTAAATATTCTGGCGATAAATTCAAAGATGGAATAATTTGGTGTCTTGCTGTTGCCATCATTCCAAATGATGGTGTTGCATGTCTATAACCTTCAATATTTTTAGTTTGAATTAATTCACAGGATGTCAGCAGGATGCACTTTCCTGGAAGTATAACAATCTGGCTTTTTGGAAGTGTTCTACTACATTTAGCATAGTTGCATTTTCTCTGGGGCAGCAAATAATGATAGTTATCTATGGAAAACCCCATACAGCTGAATGCACATTGCCAGTGTGCACTAAAACAGTTCTTGAGTATTGCAGATGAACTGAAGAGTCAGAGTTTATATTAAAATGGATTTAAATAGATTTTATTGTTTGCACTGTTAAATACACAATTTTGCATGATACTTTTCTGTCCTTTGTAAATGCAAAAATATTTACACAATACTGAACAAATTCTTTCTGAAGAATTTATGGAGTTTTTTATGGTTTAGCCCCTGAAATGCATTAATGAAATTGGAGGCATTTTATTATATTTGAGCTCGTTTAACTTTTTCAGAAAGAAATATTAGCCGTCTTTGACCTTAAGATCCTCAGTGATTTTTATTTTTCGTTTTTCCTTCCTTCCCCAGGTTTGCTGCTAAGACTGTGCACAGTGGGTCACTGATGCTAGTCACAGTGGAGCTGAAGGAGAGCTCTACAGCACAGCTCATCATAAACACTGAGAAAACCGTGATTGGTTCTGTTCTGCTGCGGGAGCTGAAGCCTGTCCTGTCCCAGGGGTAACCTGCTTACATCTGGACTTCAGAATCTGGCACACAACAAAAGTGCCTGGCATCCACTACTGCTGCCTTTCATTTATAATAATAGCCCTTCCATCTGGCAGTGGGGGAAGAATACACTCTTGACATTCTTGTCTTCTGCTTTAGAATGCTAGTGTGTATCTATCATGTATGCAACTCCTTTCCTTTTATTCTGCTTGCTAACCAAAGAACATATATTTTACTGTCAGTTATCTGCACTTTTAAATGTATTTCCCATTTGTTCTACCCTAATCCTTCCCTCTCTGTTCCCTTCCCCCACTACCTTTCTTCCCCATTGGTTTTCCCCACTGTAGTGGATGAATACTAGATAATAAAGCTAGAGGGAAATCACACTGCTTGAAAAGTGAGTTAAAATGGCTTGTGGGTTCCAGCAACATAGACAACAGCTACGTGGCTCGGAGAGGTTTTGTTGTGTAAGTGTAAAAATACAATAGGTACAGCAAAATACAGTGTTTGCTTTCTGGAAATGTTTGTAAAACTGAACCTCTCCCATTAAGAACATTGTTCTCACCTACTGCCATTCTGTCATGTATTTTTTTTAAGATGCTAATAAAGTAGTGCTATGAGAAGAGGCTCCCTCTCTCTTATTTTGGTAGAGAACTGACAATGGTTATTGCCAGTATTGGATATAACTTGTTAATTCAAGTAAATACTAACAAGGTTGGACACTACCTACGCATCAGCAAACTGTTCTTATCAAAGTAGCCAGTGTTTGTGCTCTTCTTGTAATTTTCTGCTGTGCTGTTACTCTTTTATTAATAAACAAATAACTGCCTACTTTCAAATCAGTCCATTCATAAAATACTGATTGAATTATTAGAAATCAGTGTTATATGAAATACTGATTCTTCGACTATCGTGGCAAATACTATCATTGGGCTTAATAAATTACTCAGATCTCTGTTTCAGATTTCTTTTGTAAACTGCGATAAAGATGTCTCCCACCTGTGAATAAACCAGGGCTTGAGGCAAAAAGAAATTCTTGATTTTATCCACTGAACTAGGTCTGAAAAGGCCAACAGCCACGCAGACTTTGTTGCACCCGAGTTTTCTGCCTGTAGCCTGGGTGTCACTGGTTTTGACCTTCCCTTCACATTCTGGTTACATGGTAGGACTGAAGATGCTGAGTTTCGCCATTTCATATCATAGAATCACAGAAGGGTTTGGGCTGGAAGGGACCTTCAAGACCATCAAGTTCCAACCCCCCTGCCATGGTCAGGGACACCTTCCACTAGACCAGGTTGCTCAAAGCCTCATCCAGCCTGGCCTTGAACACTTCCAGGGATGGGGCATCCACAGCTTCTCTGGGCAACCTGTTCCAGTGCTTCACTTCCAACATGGCTTTTCCTAGTAGCTCATGGCTCTTCTACAGGTGTTTTCATGTCGCATAGGACGTATTTGGATAACTCTACCCTTGCTCTGTCACCAGGACCCCTTGCATGGTCCTTTGATGCTGACTAAGTGGTGCTGGTTTGGTTTAGCTTTCTGGATGATAGGAAATACTGCTTCATCAGAAATGTTGCATTACTGCACACTGGAAAATTCTCCCAGAATTTTCTACTAAAATTTGGTAGAACTAAAAGGTAGCTGCAACATGTAGCAGAGTTTATTGGCAAATTCTAAAGAGGGGCTGGATTTTTAGGTATTTACATTGCACTTCTGTAAGGAACGTAGTTCTAGGTTTTGCTAGCACACAAAACATAACTGGTATTTCTCAGGCTCAAAAAACCAAGAATCTTATGCCCTCAACAGAAATGTACATATTTACAACATTTACATTATTTTCTGGTCATAATCCTGCAATAAGGATTTTTCCTTGAATTACAGTTTTCAAGTGTGATGCAAAAGTGATTCAAACAGATGAAAAGTTATTTGCTGTAGAAAATACCATCATCCCACAGAAAACACAGATTGGTCTAGATGGTCTTTGATATTAAAACCCAGTGAGAAGGCAGTGAGAGAAAGGTGCGGAACCACCTTTCCTGAGAAAAGACTGAACTGCAAAACCTTCAGCCATGTTTGTAAAGGAGAAAACAATCTAGAACTGCTTCTTGTGGCACTGTATAAATCGAAGGAAATCATATTAATGCTATGTAAGTCACATGCGTGTCTGAGTAATTTTAGCCTCCCTGAAGTACCTTACACACTTTAATAGTGTGTAAGTCCAGAAACATGTACAGTAATGATATTTGGGGAGTTTCTGGTATTAATTTACATTTTTCAACACTTTGTGACTTGGTCTGGTGGTTCAATACCTCCTGATACAGGTATCTGGACTGATGGTGTGATTTGAAAATTTATGCTGCCTTCCCCAAATAGTAACACCTGGGGAGAAAATTTCTTTAAAGACACATACTGAAACAGTAAATATCTCTGCACACAATAAAGCATGCAGATCCTCTTCAGGATCCTAACCATGAGCACATGTACGTGCCTTACATCAATAGTGGAAGTTGCACTCAGTCATAATTCAGCCAGTTAGCAGTAGTTAACAATAGTTTCTTGGGTTTGCTATATATCATTTTTATATCATTTTTATTCGTCCATACTTTTCGAGGCATATTAAAGGTTGTTAGAATATGAAGTAGATTGCAATCTAGAATTCTCTTCAGAGTGATTTGCTTGCACCAGTTAGCAGCAGCTCCTACTGCTATGGTCAGGCTTTTCAGTCAGGAGCTGTGCACTGAGAGCCACCTGGCTTTGGTGAGAATCTAGAGCTGGGCATCCTTGGAAAGTACCTGCGTGCACAACTTGGGGTGCGGGAGCAAGGCTGTAGCATAGTATGGCAGGACTGGTGAGGTGGGTTTGCAAAGTTCATTAGGGAATTGCATTGAGGTATAGTTTAGGGACTGGGAGGTGAGAGTTAATTACTTAAATTATGAAGGGTTCAAACGCAACAAAACCTGCAGAAACCTAACAAATACAAACTGAAATACATTACGGTATGTAGGAAATTTGGCTGTAATTTTATTAGCTGCTTGCTTATGCCTATGTAAGTAAAACTCAAAGAGACTCCAAGATTACTGTGATCTAGTCCAAGCTTTAAAACTGATGCTGGTAATTATGCATTGAAGAATTATCCAACAAGAGCATGGGCAGACAGATAAGAAAGTTTCTGTGCAGTGAGAGATTGACAGTTTATGTTGCCTTTGCTTCACATGGGCTTTATGCATGACTGTCAAAATAATACAATTTTTTTTCTCCTGTTTTCCTTTCACATTTTATGATGATGTATAAAAGGATAATATTTTTTTTCTGCATAGCCTGCCATAATTCTAGTAACTAATTTCTAAAGAAGAATAACAGAATAGAAATGGGTTTAGCACCGAGAACAAAATAATGCAAGATATAAATAGAATACCATGTGAAAGGATAGTAGAAATAATGAAAGTGTTTTTAGAGCAGGGACATGATACAGTATATGAAATAATGAATGACATAGAAAAGATAAATTGGGCTTTTCCTCATGATCTTTTCTACTAACTCAGGAACAAGGTGGCATTCTGTAACATTTCTAAAGCAATATATGTAAATTGGTGGAAGGAATTAACTTTTTTTTCCCTGTTCTTAAACACACCATGTACTTAAGCTCTGGTCGTCCGCTGTCACAACATAATAAGATGTTTACTAAAAGTGGAACAAAACGGGAAATGTACATTACCAAAGGAATATACAGATATGTATTGGATAGGATACAAAAAAAAAAGTGGGGGGCGGGCGCGGTCTAAATACTCTGATCTGTGGCTTAGGCTAATTACTCATATTTGGTGATAGGCTGAAATCCTTTTGCACTTTTTGTTTTACCATGGTCCATTACCATAATTAGTATTTATTCTTTTTTAAAAAATACTCTGTTACTGAACTGTCTAGTTCTACATACAGTATCTCATATACATGAATCAATTTTAACATGGCACTTAAATGCCCTGACAAAGATTCTGGTAAGCAATGTACAGTTGAGTTGAATCCTCCCAAGCTCTTGTCTGACTTTCAGTGTATGTCTGAAACAAGCATATGAGGATCCAACTCTGTTCCCTTAATTTTCTGTCAGTTTGTCTTCCTCCCCTTCCCCATATTTTTGTTTGTTTTATCGTGCGTGTTTTTATAACACTTATGTGTTACATTAAATGTTTTGTGGTGCAGACACCAGGCTTTGCTGTGTTTGCATAGAGTGGTTTCATTGCTGTTAGGAGCCTTTGTGCACAACCCTGATAAAAGCAATGCCTCTGTTCAGGCTATTTTCCTCTTATCTGGTATACTTGTTGTGCTTTATGTAGCACAGTCCAGTGAACCTGTTTGGAAGAGAAAGAGGGGGTGAACACTACTGCATTTCCACTCCCTCGGCTAACTGGTTTTGCTTCAGAAGGTACAAAGTGAACTACTCTTCAGTGGCTGGTAACTCTGAGCCCATGCTGTGGCTGTACTGTCCCAAATTCTGATCCACTTAAATCCCTGTGTGTATCCTGGTGCGTATACAAATATCTTTACAAGGAGCATTATTACTCCTTTTTCTCATTGTGCATTTTTAAGATAGAGGGCAAAAATTAGTTTTGTGGGCTTCCACCACCACTCTTCCAGTCCTTTCCAGGTCCCAGCCTGCTCTTGCCCTGCTTCTGGTAACTTGCCTCTTCCTCTGCGCTCTTCCAGGGCATGGCTTTTGGGCAGAGGGAAGGGGACAGAAATTCTGCCCTTAGCACCATGTAATGGAGCATATATCTTGCGAGTCACCATACACATCTCCATGCTCCCTTCTGGATCAACCCAGACCTGGCTCTTCTCCTTAGTGGGAAGGATTTGGACTAAGCCTTTCAAAAACACCTGACAAGTCACCCTGCTCCTCAGAGAAACAGCAAGAGCTAGCTGTTGGTGCGCTTGGGTCCTCCTCTCCCTTCCTCCCTGTAAAAATGCTGGTGGACTCTGGATGGGCGGTGGAAAGTTGGTCCTCTTGT